TTCGGACGATAAGTGTCGGTCGAGGGGCTGTGCCGCGCCGGCCCGTGCCGGACGGGGAGGCAGGCCTTTGACGAGAACCCTTTGGCCTGAACTCAGCGCATCGCGCTGCCCATGGCACTGCCCACGGCCCCGCCAGGGGCGTGGTGGGGCTGCCCGGGGAAATTGGTGGCCCGTAAACTGGGATTGGTCGGCCCCAGGCCGCCACAGTGTGGAGCACAGTGTGCCACACACCACCCTGCCGAAAACCCTAAAACCCTGGCAACCCTACGTCGCGGCCCGTGACACCACTTAGCTGCATTTCATGCGGCCGCGCTGTAAAGAAAAAGAAGACCCTGTCACAGCGGGACGCAAACTGGCGCCCGGAATCGCCGCTTGAAATGTCGCCGTTTCACTCTGCGCTCTCTCTCTCTCTCTCTCTCTCTCTCTCTCTCCCTCTCTCTCCCTCGCTCTCTCTTTTGTATAATTCGCGGCACGAGCCGTTTAACGGGATTCGGACTGACGCATGTGACGGTCGGCACGGTGCAGCCAGGAATAATGCAGCCATCAAAATTCAATTACGTCTTCTCTCTCTCTCTCTCTCTCTCTCTCTCTCTCTCTCTCTCTCTCTCTCTCTCTCTCTCCCCCCCACAGCCTCGCGACGGGGATCCTCTCTCTCATCATTACGCTCTTCATTCCGGACCCTCCTCGTTCCTATTCGTCTTCGTCTGGCAGCGTATTATTTTCTCCCCGTTCTGATCTCCGCTGCCGTCGTCCGTCGTGCACTCGGAGAAACGGACACGATTCCGGCAGGCGACAGGCGTTCGGACCTCGAAACTTATTTTTAGCGACCGGAACTTGAAATTTGAGAATGTGTCACTGCACATTGTCCTTCGATTGAAGTTGGTTGTTCATAGCAATAAATAACATGCCATGCCTCTCTTACTTAACTGTTAACAAGAACTTTGGAAGTGCTCGGAAATGATTTTTTGCTGAAAATAATTCACTGAGATCTTTGGAAAATTCCGAAATCTCCAGTTTTACCTTTAGTTGTCATCCATTGTGTGTTTCCGGGGCAAAGTACGAAGTTGGCCACGATTTAAAGCAAAGCTTCTCTTGAAATTCCCGACGCAGCTTCGAAAGACACTTAATCGACGACTTCCATGATTTTCTAAACTAATTCTAACAGCGAATGTATATGGTTGGGTCATTTGTTCTGACCAAGATACACTGAAAATTTACACACACACAGTTTCTCGTGAGGATAGTTTCGAGTGTTGATCGGCGCCAACGCAGCAGGAAATTCCCTGGCCACAGTTTTCCCGCCAGAAAAAGAAAAACCCGCCAACGCGTTGTGCATTCCCGGAGCGCTAATTCTTTCCCGGCTTCGCTGGCTTCGCTGGCTTCGCTGGCGTGCTACCGATTTCCCCAGTGGTGGTAAACCGCGGGGGCGGGCGGCGCGGTGCGTGGCTGCACTCAGGCTGTCTCTCTCGCACTCGCGGTGCGACCCGCCGGCGTGCAAGAGAGACGGAGCAGAGAGAATCGCGGTGGGCTCCTGCACAAAAAAGCCAAATCTCCCGCGGCTGCCCAAGAAAATTATGTTTCTCATAAATTTGCGATCCTCGCCGCTATTCAGAGGCCGAGCCTCGCGCCGCCAAGTTGCTGGGCCTTACACCGTTAATGAACGCCCATTCCAGTTGACGAGGAGCATCCGGTCTCCCCGCGTTTTCAGCAGGTTAACAGAACGTTGTGCACAATAAATTAAAAGTAAACGCCTTTTTTTTTCACTTTTTTTAAAGGAAGCTGCGGTTTGTTTTATGTGTGAAACGATACGGCTCCGCATCCGCGCCACTGCCGAGCAGCCCGACCCACGAAATGCGGAATTCGGCTTCCCGTTCCGGTTTTCTTTGAGCTGCAGTCGTGCGCCTAACCGCACCCGCCGCTGCGGTCCCACCCCGCCGCCCCACAGCCCCGCCCCTCAGCCCCGCGGCGGCAGAGCAGAAAACGGGAAAAGACTCGATGAGGGGCGGCGGGGGCGGCGGGGGCGGGCCGCTCGGGCAGGGGTGACGAGGGAGCCAACAAATTAGCCATATGAGGAGGGGAAGGTAATGAAAACGTGCAAGGAAGCCACCCCGGCCGTGCTGGGGAGGGAGCTTCTCCCTGACTCGGCACTCGCCGCCCTTCCGAGGGTCCGCGGTTCGATCCCGGTCCGCGGGGTCACTTTTACTCGCCCGGCCAGCAGACCGAGACTTAAACGCGAACCCTGCTCCTGCAGAGCAGCACTGCGCCGCAGCTTTTCGGCTCATTTTACACCGCAGTTCATGTTTGACGATTCAGGGCTCGGTCGAGTTCGTGGCCTCCAAGACCAGCAGCAGCGCGCAGCAGCGCACCGAGCCGGATGGGCGCCACTCCAGCCATAACAAGACTGTCCGTCTGTCTGCCCGTCAGGCCGTCCGACTGGCCACCCGCCTGACGCCGGGCGGTACTCAGTGAATAAAATGGGTTTCAATTCGCAGCGACTCTCTGATGCTGCTGCTGCCACTGCTGCTGCTACAACTGCTGCTGCTGCTACAATTGCGGCTTCTACTACTACTGCTACTACTACTGCTGCTATTACTACTGCTACTACTACTGCTGCTATTACTACTGCTACTACTACTGCTGCTATTACTACTGCTACTACTACTGCTGCTATTACTACTGCTACTACTACTACTGCTGCTGCTCCGGGCCATTTCTCATGACAATCCATGCCGCGACACGCCAACCGAGGCCGGCACCACAACGCAAACTCCGGCACGCCACGCCACACTGCCCACGTAAATTGTACCTCGTGCTACGGTTGTAACAGGTGGCAATGGCGGCCGGGCCTGTGTAAACATGCACGGTGTGCTCTGCTGGCCGCACTCTCACACACTCACACACGTACGTGTGCTAACACTGGAGGAAATCCTTTCCGCCGTAGCAAGCCCATTCGATAATCTACCGTTCTCTTTTCTCTCATTTATTGGGAAAACCGCTCAGACAAAGACTCAGACTTTTTATTCCATTTGTAACGCCTCTTTTTTTCGAGCTTACGGCGCCTGTGAATCAGCGGGTAGACTACACGCTACGCAGGCGTGCGTCCGTGTTGCCTTCCTGACAGGGGCTTCTTCACTCTCAGACTCGCGATTGAGTAGCACCTCCTTGTGCAACAATAATGCGTATTTTTCTCTTTTGTAATTTCAATTACACATTTGTAGGTACTTTTTGACCCAAAAAAATCCGAAATAATTTTAAGCAGTAAATTGTGCGTATCTCAGAAGAAATTACTACATATTATTGCTGTAGAGACAATAGTACCTGGTTACTGACGATAAAGTCAGTAAAAGGCTGAGACTTGAGACCCGTTTCGAGAGGCCGATCCAACACCCGACTCTGTCGACTGGCCCACCGTCTAGTCTGGTCCGGCCGCGCCCCTTCGCGAGGCTAGGCTGGCCACGGCGAATCACGGCGTGACTTACTGCGGCAGATCGCCGGCCTAACTTCCTTCTTTATTAAAGAAGAGGCTCCCCTTCCGACAATATAAATGACGCTTCAGTAATTACGGTAGTAACGAACGGTGCATCCCAGCCGGCCCGCGCTCCGTCTCCTTCTCCTCCTTCTTCTTGTTCTGCCCAGTGCTCCGTGATGACGTCATAGAGTGCCAGTTAGTCTAGCCTCGTCCCGGGAGGGGTGCGCGCGGTGTTTCCCGCTCTGCCTATCAGCGTCTTAACAAGCTGGGGCTCGGTCCTGCCGCCGGAAAAGACGTTTCGAGCCCTAGACACAGCAACAACAACAACAAGAAAAAAAGTTGGCCGGGGTTTTGAACCTGCGGTACTTGGCGCGCCGGCTGGATGCTAAGGAAAGTGGCCAGCGCCATAATTTTCCCCCATTGAGTCTCCCGGCGCGCCGGCCCGACTTTGAAGAACATTGTGTGGTAAACCTGAGGGCCGGGCTGCCTCGCGGCGAACCAACGAACGGTGGGCCAGAAGACCGGTGGAGGCGGCCAAAACTCTAGACGCGTTTTGAGCTCCACAGTCGCTGAATGGAACTCGAACCGAACGTGTGACCCCACCAGTGGATTCCTCGTTCGAAGAGCAATCCATTGGTGGGGTCACACCGGGTCACACGTTCGGTTCGAGCCCTGTTTAGCGACTCTGGAGCTCAAAACGCGTCTAGCGTTTTGGCCGCCTCCACCGGTCTTCTGGCCCACTGTGCAACGGCCAGGCAACGGCCAGCCCCGGCAGGGGTCAGTTAATTACACAGTAACAGTGAGGCAGCATGGCGCCCCTCGCGGTGCCTGTGTCGCGCACGGACCGCCGCGGGGACCACCAGGCCGCCAGGCACGGGGGCGGCAAGACGCCCGCAGCGGCTGCCTGTCTCTCTCGCACCCACGCGCCCCGCCGGTCGCACCATGCGTCCGACAGAGACGGAGCACCGAGTGGGTGCTTATGGTAAAGGAAAGTGGTGGGGACGTCCCCGGGACACCCCCGCTGGCTGGCGCTGGCGCAGCTGTGCGTGTCACATCTTGACACTCGGCGCGCGGCCGGGCCGGGCCAGTCCAAGCCGCATATGATCCGCGCCCGCCGAGGGCCGCGTCCGGTCGGCCCGACGTGACGGCAAAACGCCGCCGTATGGTCGTGGGCGGGTCCAACACCCGCAGATGCTAAATTTTTTTTGTTGTTGTTGTTTAAATTCTTGAGCTTACGATGCATTTTGAGTGACGAACACGGCAAAAACGGCTCCTAAAACCCTATGGTGAAGTCAAAGGTGATTTCCAGACAGTTTCTGGAAAAGCAAGGAACCTTTTTTTTTACCGTGAACCTTTCAGTTTGTTCCAACAGATAGTTCGTACATTACGGAGTGTTTTCTTTGTAAGCTTATGTATGCTCAAAATCTCGGTCAAAACACTTTGTAATCACAAGCTATACTCTCGTTTGCAAAGCCTATTCAGAGGGTTTTCTGAGTGAAGCTTATGTGCGTCCATTTTCCTTGTGTTACAGTGGACAACTTCAGCTCGGACACGCTGCCCCTGGTCAGGATAACGAGGCAGCAGATGGGCGCGTACCTGTGCATCGCCTCCAACGAAGTGCCGCCGGCCGTCTCCAAGAGGATCAGCCTCAGCGTGCAGTGTAAGCATTCACTTTAGCGTGAGAATGAAAAGTGGGGATGGAAAAGTTAAACCTGTGCGGGGCTGGCTTTTCAACTTAAAACCGTCGCGAGGCCAGGACCATTTATTTCGGCTAAATAAAGATAGAAATTTGAATGTTAAGTCAACGTCAAGAGCCAATCGCGGTGAAAACGGTCCCTGGTTTTCCCAAGAAGCCTGTGGTAAAGATAAAGGCGATTTCTGGGGAGCTCCGGGGAAAACCAAGAATCGTTCTCACCGCGATCGATGCCAACCTCGAGACGCGCTGCACAGGATCACGGCGGCAACGGGCGGCGGCGTGTGTTGAAGGTTCCGTTTACTTTGGATAGGATGGCGCCGCGATGCTGCGATCTGGGCGGCCCGGGCGGCTCGGGCTGCAGGTGCGCGTCGAGGCGTCGAATCTCCGGCCCGCCGAGGCGGTCCCCCTCACCGAGGCCCTCGCACAGTGGGCCAGAACACCGGTGAAGGCGGCCACAACTCCGGCGGCGTTTTGAGCTCCAGAGTATCTAAACCGGACTCGAACCGAACGTGTGACCCCACCAATGGATTCCTCGTTCGGAGAGCAATCCATTGGTGGGGTTACACGCTCAGTTCTAGTCCCATTTAGCGACTCTGGGGCTCAAAACGCGTCGAGAGTTTTGGCCGCCTGCACCGGTCTTCTGGCCCACTGTGTCTCGCCGAGGAGGAGGTGCACCAGTCCGGGGGTCTCTTTGCCGAAGGACGGATTACTCATCTCCCCTCCGCTCCGCCGCTCCGCCCCTGGCCTACTTTGAAATATAATTATACGGCGAGGCGATCAGCTCTCGGGCAGCACGGCCAGGGCGGGGACGGCCAGGGCAGACCGGGGCGGAGTGGAGTGGCGCTGGTGTCATGTCCGCCGGCAGCACCGGCCGAGGGCCCCGCCGCGGGCCTCGCCGCAGGCCGCCCGGTCTTCATCAAGGCCGTCTTGATCATCCAGGGGACTCTCTGTAATTACTGGCGGATGATAGGCTTTTCACACACATACACACACACACACACGCGCGCACGATCGTTTTCCTTGAGGGCAGTGGGATGCAGTCGGCGCCCAGGGCGGTTGCGAGACTGGGGGCTGCCCACAGGTCGATCTTGGCGTGGCGCTAGGCAGCGCCAGAAGACCGGCGCAGGCGGCCAAGCCTCCAGCCGAGTTTTGAGCTCCAGAGTCGCTAAACAGGACTCGAACCGAGCGTGTGACCCCACCAATGGATTGCTCGTTCGGAGAGCAATCCATAGGTGGGGTCACACGTTCGGTTCGAGTTTCATTTAGCGACTCTGGAGCTCACAACGCGTTTAGAATAATTTTGGTCGCCTCCACCGCTCCTCCGGCCCACTGTGCGCTGGACAAAGTAGTTGAGGAGAGCTCGAAAGCGCACTAACGGTATTGGTTACTGCTCTTTGACGACACTGCGAGTGCACGCAGTGCTTCGCAGCAGACCGATTCCGAGAGTCGTTTTTGTCGCCCTGTCTCTGTCGAACTCATGGAGCGTTAGGTGCAAGAGAGACAGCAACGACTCCCGGGGACAGTCCACTGACGCTTTGACTAATGGACTCTTCCTTCGCATGCTTTGCAGTCGCCCCCTCCATCCACGCCCCTAGCCAGCTGCTGGGCGCGCCCGGCGGCACCGACGTCACGCTGGAGTGCAAGGTGGAGGCCTACCCCAACACCATGAACTACTGGGAGAACAACCGGTCCACCATCCTGCTCAACGGGTGAGTCCGCCACGTCATCGTCATGTGTATGCACAAGATTTAGAAAAAATCTCGTTATTTGCACGGCGCGTGTCAATAATCACTTCGTAAAAATAAATGTCTCAGAAATACTTTTTGGGCGGGCATTCTTTTTAATAGGTTCTTTAGGGGAACGAATCTTTAGTATTTTTTTTTTTGAAAAAGATCTTTTAAGTTGCTTTTAAGCTCAAGTTTCTTTTGTTTTCTTTTTAAATTTTGAGTCAATTTAAAGAAAATTTAGTGTTTTCTTTTTTTAAAGTCAAAAACGTTATGTGGAATGTTAGAAAGAAAACTATCCTGAAAGTCGAGAAAACTCGACGCTGCTCTGTCTTAGCTCTGTACACTTCTAGAAGAAAAAAAACCCATAAATCTACAAAAATAACTGGCAAATTTTTATTAAGAATTTATGGTACTATCAAAGTACAACAATCGTTGTACGAAGTATAATGAAACCGGATGAGTGCAGTGTAGGCTTCGTTGTACTTTGTTCATTTCGCGTTTTACTTTCACCAAGTCCCGACGCACTTATTTTGCACAGTTTTCGTTGTACTTTTTTTTGTACTATTCCGACTTTTCGCAATTTTTATCGCACTGTGTAACAAAGTTCTGTTTTTTTTTGTTTTTTTTTGGCAGGCCGAAGCACTCGGTGAGCGAGCGGCGCGAAGGCTACCACGTGCACATGAACCTGACGGTGCGCAACCTGACGCTGCACGACTACGGCGTCTACAAGTGCATCTCCAAGAACAGCCTCGGAACGGCCGAGAGCAACGTGCGGATATACGGTGAGTATATAGTAGCCTCTTTGAAGGGCGGAGCCGCGGAGCCGCGGAGCCGCCTTTGCAGACGGGCATGGCATTACAGTGGAGTGGACCGGGCCGGCCTCGGCCGCCTGATCCCGAGAGTCGCTTTCGTCGCTCGCTGTCTCTCTCGCACTCCTCCTGGGGCGTCCCGTACGGGTGCGAGAGAGACAGAGCGACGAAAACACCTCCTGCGAAATGAATGACCTCTTTTATATTATCTTTATTTATGTCGTGTAATGTCACCTGCGCGTACAGTTTCTGACGGTTCTTTTTGCCGTCCCCCGCGCTCCCTTCTACTGTGCCTGGTGCTGACTGCTCGCTCCGTTCAAGCTGTGGCCCTGCACGGTGGCGGCAGTCAACCGAGCCACATCCCGCGTCGGCACTCATCCCCTGCCCCCTCCCCCTGCTCCGGACGCCGCCCCCTTTACGCCCCAACGCGCCGCGCGTTGGCTGCTTCCGAGTGTGGCCTTTCCCACTCATTTGGGGTCGCGCGCCGCGCGCAGTGGAGTGGAGGGGAGGGGGATTGGACCGCCGCGGTGGCGAACTAGTCGAAACGCGCGCACGCTCACACACGGCCGTCTCTCTCTCTCTCTCTCTCTCTCTCTCTCTCTCTCTCTCTCTCTCTCCCTCTCCCTCCTCCTCTCTCTCTCGCTCTCTCTCTCTCTCTCTCTCTCTGACACACACACACACGCACGCACGCGGTGGATGTCGGAGCGACTGGTGCCGTGAAATGGAGAAGGCCCTCCAACCCGTTCCCCATCTCCCCCAGGAAGATTCGGCTGCCGTTCCAAAGCGGACGGCCGTTTGGCGGCGCGGTTTGAGACACTTGAGTCGTCGTAAACGCGGAGCCGCCGCGCCGCCGTCGCCCTGCCTCTCTCGCGCCCGCACGCCGCACCACGGCGCGAGAGAGAGGGGTCGGCTTTGCAGTGTGGGTGCGGGAGAGGCAGCACGAGGTGGCAGGCCGCCCGTCGTCCCGCGCCTCCATTACCACGTCCTCCGTCACTTTCGCTCTATGCACGGTAAAAACGGTTCCTGGTATCCCCAGGAACCCCCTGGAAATCACCTATGTCTTCGCCATATGGCTCCTGGGAAAACCAGGTACCGTTTCTACCGTGTGCGTCACTGTGGATTTTCGGATTTTCCAGAGGGGTTTCCCTGCAGTTTTGTCGAAAAAAAAAAATCTCATTCAACGAACGTTAATGAAAGCAGATGATACTCGTTTGGTTTTCTTATACGGGGTAGTACGCGGGATCATTCCAAAGATAGTATTTAAAATTGTGTATGAAACAAAATACACAGACCCGAGTGAGCTGGCCGGTGTTGGTACTAGCCGTGCCGAGCTGTGGCTTGCACCGCACGCCGCCGAGCCCCAGCGAGCGCCCCAGGCCGGGCCGAATCGGGAGGCATTGTTGCGCGATACTCCGCGCCGTGGCAGGCGGGGAGGGATTGTCAATGTGAGGAGGAGGTGCCATTGTTGACGCCCGGTGCCGCTGGCGCTGTACCGCGGAGGGATTGTCGAATTCCGCGCAGGCTGCGCCTCATTGCCAGCCAGCCAGCCTGCCAGCCAGCCACACGCACCAGCCCGCCCCGGCCGCCAGCCCCTATTATATTGTTAGGATACGCGCTTGGTTTCTGGACTCGAGAGTAAAAGCACGCTGACACCTTCATTTGTGTATAGTAGTTTTAAGTATGTTTCAAGTGTGAAGGTATCATCTGCTAAAAAACAACAAAAATAAAGGGATATTGAAGTGCGAGGCAAGTTTCGGCCTCCTCGGCCTGCAGAAAGGGACGGCCCCCCGCGGTCCCTTGTGCGCGCATTAGAGGGCGCGCCATCTCGGACCATTGGCCGGCCGGGCGCGGCCAGGCCTCCTCGGCCCGCCGGCCTCGCCATCTCCGCCGAGGCACAACGGCCTCTGGAACTGTTGCTCCCATCGTAAACTCGTTCGGCCGTAACGCAACAGACTGTGTATCCCCCTCATCTCCGTCGCACTCTCGCAGTGTCGGCGCCGATCTCCAGATTCCGGCCGAGCGCTGGCTGCCGAGAGGTGTTCGTTAAATCGATGAATAAAACGTGTCCAATCCGGCGGTGCACAGTGGGCCAGGCCAGAAGACCGGTGGAGGCGGCCAAAAGTCAGGACGCGTTTTGAGCTACAGAGTCGCTGAACAGGACTCGAACTGAACGTGTGTCTGTGACCCTACCAATGGATTGCTCTTCGAACGAGGAATCGATTTGTGGGATCACACGTTTGGTTCGACTCCCATTTAGCGACCCTGGAGCTCAAAACGCGTCTGGAGTTTTAGCCGCCTGCGGCGTCTTCTGGCGCACTGAGCAGCCTGCTGCTCTTCAGGTCCACAACCGCAAACGCTCACTCTGTCCCTCTCCCACGTGGAACGTGCCGTGAAGGCGCGAGAGAGACAGAGTGAAGAACACCGGGCGTAATGTCTGTGCTATGACCGGCTGGACTGGACTCCATCTTTTCCTACCTGGCCCGCCCACTAAATCCTGCTGCCCTGGCGAGGCTGACGGGCCTGGCGGGGCTGGTGGGCCTGGCAGCCCACGGTGGGCTTGACGAGGCCAGATAAACACGGCCAGCTTACGGTGCGGCCGGCCAACTCGCTGTGTAGATCAACAACTTTAGCGCGTGCGTGGGGTGGCGCGGTGGGCCCACGGCCGGACCGGAGGCTGGGCCGAAGGCTCGCCCCGGCTGGACCAAAGACTGAACCAAAGGCTAGACCAAAGATTGGACCAAAGGCTGGACCAAAGATTAGACCAAAGGCTGGAGCAAAGGCTGGACCGAAGGCTGGACCAAACCCAGGTCTAAAAATCTTGTGTGGTTTACGGAATCCTGTATCATTTTGCAGGATCCCGTCTAGTTTTACGAGATCTCGTATGGTTTTGCGGGATCCCGTAAGAACACTCGAGATCCCGGGAGGGTCGCACAGGATCCCTTAAGACCTTACGGGATCCGGTAAGGGTCACACAAGATCCCGAGAGGGTCATACGGGATCCCTTTGGTAGCCGGGATCCCGAGAGGGTCGTACGGGATCCCGCACGCTGCCGAGATCCGGGACGAGCCACACGGGATCCCGTGATGGACTTGCGGGATCCCTTATCGACGGGTTCGAGGAATATAACGCTAACTCGGAGCGCATCCGGACACTGCGCTATCTCGGACTGCTGCACTACACTACGCTATCTCGACACCCAGCTCCACCTCGCGATTTTGAAGCCTCATGTTTAAGAGAATAACGCCTGTAAGGACGCAACGACGTGTTTTTATGGAAATATGGGTTGGCATCAGTGCTAGAAACAAGTTTGAACCTTTTACTCTCAATAGTTCCGTAAATATCGCATGTCAAAGTAGGCGCCCGAAATGGCGACTCGAGATAGTGCACTATAGTGCTACAGAGCGAGATAGCGCAGTGTCCAGATGCGCTCCGAGTTAGCGTTATATTCCTCGAACCCGTCGTTATGTTGCCGAGATCCCGGGAAGTACGCACGGGATTTCAAAATAAGGTATGCTGTAACTCGGAAAGTTTTTAACATTTTAAGCTCAAATTTTGTATGGGGTATATTCGCTAAAATTCACCAGTGCCATTTGAATTTTATTGAAATCTAACAACTTTTTTCTGCTATCTCGAGAACCGCTGGAGTTATCCAAATTTTGACTGCAGATTTGGATAGATCTCGGTTCCATCCTCCCAGATGATTCAATCTTTTGATTCTATCCGCAGAAGAACTTGTATTTTAACGTCTTTATCTGCACTTTACAGGATCCTTTTAGTGGGCAAAGGATTCCTTTCCGGCATACGAGATCCCGTCCTGGCGTACAGGATCCTGTCCCAGCATACGAGATTTTGAAAATTCGTTAAAGGAGCCCGTGTGTCCTCACGGGATCCCGTCCACCTCTCAGGATCCTGTATGGCTCGGGATCTCGTATAGCAGTACGGGAATCCCTTAACGAATTTTCAAATCCCGTATGATCTTACGAGATTTTTAGACCTGGGAAGGCTGGACAAAGGCTGGACCAAAGGCTCGCCCCGGTTGGACCGAAGACTGAACCAAAGGCTAGACCAAAGGCTGGACCAAAGACTGGAGCAAAGGCTGCACTAAAGGCTGGGCCAAAGGCTGGACCAAAGGCTGGACCAAAGGCTGCATTAAAGGCTGGACCAAAGGCTGCATTAAAGGCTGGGGAAAAGGCTGGACCGAAGGCTCAACCGGGGGTAGATGGCTGGACCACAGTCTATGTAGTTGGATCAGGGGCTGGACCAAAGACGAAGACAGGGACTGGACCAGAGGTTAGAACGAGACGCAGCATCCAAAATTGAGTGCAGGCGATACGAACCGAGATGCGAACGCTTCCTCTTTTACGGCACCCAGTTGTTTTGGGGATGAGAGCAGGTGAGGGTCGGCCGTGTGGCATGACGCTGCAGGTGTGTGTGTGTGTGTGTGTGTGTGTGTGTGTGTGTGTGTGTGTGTGTGTGTGTGTAGTGTGTGTAGTGTACCGTGCAGTGGGAAGGGGGGCGAAAGGGTCCGAATCGCCTGAAAGAACTGCTGCGGGTCTTTCTGCTCGCGGCGCTGGTGGACCTTCATCCGAAAGGAATAAAATTGCGGATGTTTCTTTTCTCTTTCCCCCTTCTCTCTCTCTCTCTCTCTCTCTCTCTCTCTCTCTCTTCTTTTTTGTGCCTACACTGCCGGCGCGCATAAGTCGGAAGCCCGGAAGCGATCGGGACGACAAATAGTGCGTCAGTTTGCTTCCCTCTCGGCGATCCTGCAGCCCGCTCGTCCAATCACGATCCCAAACTAAACCTGTGGAGCGATGCTGAACCGTGCTCTCTCTCTCTCTCTCTCTCTCTCTCTCTCTCTCTCTCTCTCTCTCTCTCTCTCTCTCTCTCTCCACACGCCCCTGCGAGACGCCGGGGCGCTTTCGTGAGTGCGAGAGAGAGCGACAACGCGTCGCTAGAGGTTCTCATCCCGGAGG